TATGATTCTCTAATTATATAGATTTCCTTAAGACAACAAAATCACCCATGGAGAAGGAAAAATGACACTGCCATTTTGGTGGAAAGAGTGCCACCTGGTGAAACTTGTGCAATAATGCAGGCTTTGTGGAGCTCAGCAGTATTGTGCTGGCCTAGCATATGGTACTGGAAAACAACAATCAAACTTTGTTACTGCCTTCTCAAAAAACACTGAAGCCTGATAGTAGTCTATGAAAGTAATAAAATATAATCCCACTACAGTAAAATAATAACTGCCTCACTGTCTCACAAGAAGAGAAATTATAAATATTAAGCAGAAATGCTACTGCCAATTACTGCTCCTGACACATGGTTGGGGCCCAAAACCATTTGTTGAGTGAATTCTATCCTGTATTCATCTTATTTAGCATCAAAACATGCAAGCCAGCCGGGCAATGGTGGCGCACGCCTTTAATCCCAGCACTCGGGAGGCAGAGGCAGGCGGATCTCTGTGAGTTCGAGACCAGCCTGGTCTACAGAGCTAGCTCCAGGACAGGCTCTAAAGCCACAGAGAAACCCTGTCTCGAAAAACAAAAAAACAAAAAAAAAAAAAAAAAAAAATGCAAGCCAGCATTTTAAGATACTTAACACATAAAACTATAAATCTCTAACCCCCACTACTATTCTGAAGTAACAGTGGCTAATGCTAATAAAGCCACTAATAGTGCCCTTATACGCAGGCATGATTCAAAGTATCTATCATGGTGTAGATGTTAAGAATAATTTTAAAAAGTCAACATTAGCACTTCCCTTTTATAGGTAAAAAAATGAAAGTGTAGAGACGTGAAGTAATTTAACCACACTCCCTCCACTGAATGGAGAAGGGCCAAAGAGGTCTGGGTCTAAACTTGGCTCACGACCATTTTATAGAGTCCTGTTACATATACAGCCGCTAGAATATGTTTAATTGTGGAAGCAGGAACAATGGCAGCCGTTGATTTGTCCTGCATGCCTGTAAGTCTATCCTGTAGCTCTGTCATACAGAATCTAAGAACAGAATTATAAAGTGCTGTGTAAACCCTGAGTTACATAACACGCTAACAATTGCAGGCCTACCTTCCGTTTAGAGGCTTTTGTACTTTAATCTCTGATTGTTAAAATCTGGTGCCTGAATCCCAAACAGGAACGAACACATGTAAAGACTATCAAAAGCAAGGCCTTGTTGGGTGCGGTGCCACTCCAAAGAATGAGGCAAGCTCTGTAGTACAAAGCCAACAAGCCCTTGTCTCAAACAAAATGAAATAAAACCCAGAATGGTGGTGCACGCCCGAAATCCAAGCAATTGGGAAAATATGGAGGCAGGACAGAATTCAAGACTGGCCTCAGGTACATAATGGGACCCTGTCTGAAAACAAAACAACAAAACCCACACAAGGCCACTTTGGGGGGTGAGTCTGGACAGAAAAAGGTGGAATAAGCAATTTAAACATTTGGATGTACTTCTAGACACTGAAACTGTATATACCAACATCAACATTGGCCAGAATTCAGCCTTCACCTCTTCCTGTTACCACTTTCTTCGGTCCAGCCTGTCTCCCATTGTGTGGTTTTGCAGGCAGGCTATTTTTTTTTTTTCAAGACAGGGTTTCTCGGCAGCTACATAGTCAGTCTGGCACTAGCTCTTGTAGACCAGGCGGGCCTCAAACTCACAGAGATCCGCTTGCCTCTGCCTCCCGAGTGTTGGGATTAAATGTGCACGCCACCACCGCCCAGAGGTTAATATTCTTAATACACGACACGTTTTTGTTTTTTCAGAGCATATAGCTCAGACTGGCCTGCGACTTGAACCAGTCGTCCTATTTTAGCCTCTAGAAGGCTACATCACAGGTGTGAGCCACCACATCTGGATCTCGAAACTATTTCTCCAAGAGCTCTTCACGCCTCCGCAGCACAGGGCTTCCTTTGGAGTGCTATTTCTTCAAGGACTGGAGACCCTTAGAAAGTTCTTTTTCTTGTGCATGACCTATACCAGAGATTTGTTTCTATACTTTCCTAGGTCATCAACTCTTTTCCAACCAGAAACAAATTCTTTGAAAACTGGTAGTTTCCCTAGCTTTCTATCACTGGGGCCGAGTAAATTCCGTTAGAACTGCTGGGCTGCGCTTTAGGATCTCCGTGCATATGGAGCTTATATTGTATCACAGCTGTCAACGGTGCACACATTAATAACCGATAGGCACTATGATGAGCAGGAGGAAAAAAAAAAGAAAGGGGTCATAGTAGAAAGAGATGATTGTGTCAATTTGACGTTTACAGGCAACCCGGAAGCGCGACACTGTCTGCGTCAAAGGCACTAAACCTCGGTAACCGGTGATGCAGGAAAAAAAAAAAGCCTGGCACTAACACTAGGTCCTCCTATAATGAGGAGCCTTGGTTTCTTCAACCGTCTTACTAATGTGTCTTTGGGCCTGACAGGGTTGGCGGCAGAATCGAAAACGAATGAATGCAGAAACGCTCCAAGTCTGCAAATCGCCACGCGTGGGTTTCGAGAAAGCAAAGGTGCGCTAGATCATCTCCGAAGGGCCTCCGTGGAACTCATCTTTCTTGCTATCACTGTCCGCCCCCGGGGCTCAGGACAATAGGGGGTCCCTGGCTGAAGTCCTGACCAGGTCCCGAAGTGACCGGACCCACGGGCCCACCCATGGCAGCCGGGGCCCCGCCCTCCCGCCTCACTCACCGATGGGTTTGTCCAGGCGCATAAGGCGCAGGTAGGGCTGCAGGGGGCGCGGCGCCCAGTTCACCACGGCCGCGGCCGACAGGCTGAGTGCGCGCCCGCGCGGTGCCCCCGGGGCCGGTACCCGCCAGTCCCGCGCGCACCAAGCCCCTGCCGTGCGGACCAGGGCCAGAGAGAGTCCGAACGGACATCGCCGCCACGCCGGTGTCACCGCCCTCAGACCCCACGCCAGCCCTGCGCCCCGCAGGCCCAGCATGGCGCCGAGGCTCGACGCCGCTTGCTGACGTCATCAGGGGCGACCCACCTCGAGCGGGCGAGCATGCGCAGTGGTGGCGAACGGCCGTTAGCTGGCTGGGTGGGAACTCAACCGGCTTTAAGGTGTCGCTGGTGTGTGTGTGCCTGTGTGTGCATGAGTGCGTGTCTGTTAGGTTGCCTGTATGTATGTAGAAGTGTATGTGTGTCAGGTTGTCTGCATGTATGTAGCAGTGTCTGTGTGTGTGTGTCTGTGTGTGCCTGAGTGCGTGTCTGTTAGGTTGCCTGTAGGAATGTAGAAGCGTCTGTGTGTCAGGTTGACTGCATGTATGTAGCAGTGTGTGTGTGTGTGTGTGTGTGTTTTAGGCTGCCTCCATATATGTGCATTGCGTGTATATGTGCTGTATGTACGTGTCAGGATGTCTTCATGTGTGTAGCAGTGTATTAGGTTTGTATGTATGTGGAAGTGTGTCAGGTTGCCTGTGTGAGCATCATGTGCGTGTGTGTTGTATGTATGTGTCATGATGTAGCAAGTTCTCCTGTATATGTGTTGCTTTATCAATGCTTGTTTAATTTGCATAATCTGGTTTCCATACACCTTGTCTAACTCTGCTTGGAGCTACGGTAATTTCCGTTCCGTTTCTTTTCTCATTTTTTGCATTATACCGGGTTTCTGAAAAGTTTTCTTCATTTTTCTTTTGGAGTTCTTTGATTATCACCATGAACTGTTTAATTTCTAGGCAACATTGCTTCACTTTTTGCTTAGAACCAGCTAGTTCAAGGTTTAAGCTTTTGGTTTCTTGGTCTTTTTTGTTTTTTGTTTTGTTTTGTTTTGTTTTGTTTTTCAAGACAGGGTTTCTCTGTAGCTTTGGAGCCTGTCCTGGAACAAGCTCTTGTAGACCAGGCTAGCCTCAAACTCAGAAATTTGCCCACCTCTGCCTCCTGAGTGCTGGGATTAAAGGTGTGTGCCACCACCGCCCAGCGTAGGTAAACCCCAACACACAAATCAGATATGTTACAGCTCACAACCTGTAACTCCAGCTCCAGGGGGATGTGACGCTCCTGTCCTCTGAGGACACCCCTCCCACATAATTAAAAAAATAACAAAAAATACCTAAAAGAGTTCAAGGCAAAGTCAAGGAGAATGAATAACTTAGATGTTGCTATTGCTGTGCCCAGATTACAACCCCCAGAGAGCCCACCAGAGAGGCCAGACTGTAATAAGTAAGGTTTGTTAGCATACTATGAACTAGTTCGGAACTCATCTCCACCCCCCTCTGCAGTGAGGTAGAGAGGAGTCAGAGCTCCTCTGTGGGCTTAGCTTTTAAAGGTAAGAATTACAAGAAGGCCTTTTGAAGTTGCTGTGGCACAGGAGCAAGGTCTTTTACTCTGTCCCATCCTATGTCAGCTAGTTCTTTGTTCTTAGAGCAAGGCCATACTGTTCCTGAGTCAGGCCATCTTTATCAGCCTATACCAGATGGCCGGGCGTAATTTCTCAGGTGGTGGTGGGGAGGTCACTATCTTCCTGGGAACAAGCTAGTCTGGGTTTTTATTTTTAAAACATTTTGCTAGAAAATTCCTTCTCTTCCCTTGAGAATAAAGGGTGAGGGTCTCACAGCTATAATCATACAAGTGAAAAATTAGGCATTGCATTTATTCAGTGGAAGAGGAACAAGGAAAATAAGTAGGTAAGTCCAGACATTATGACTGAAGTAGGAAATTATCTATGCCTGATGGTTCCTTTTCTTCAGAGTCAAGAACCTCAATGTTGGGAGGATGGGCTAAAATAGGTAGGAGGTAAACAGAAGATAGTGAAGGAAAAGGCTCCATCAGTCCATCCATCCATCCATCCATCCATCCATCCATCCATCCATCCATCCATCCATCCAGAGCAGTGACGAGGATCAAATTCAGGGCCCTTTGTCTGTTCTCGGCTAACATTTTCCCAGCGGGCCACAACTTCAATCCATCCAAACCAGACTTTCAAATGTAAGAACCTGTAACCTTTAGCTTTCTTAGAAGAATAAACATGCAAATTAAGGCTATAAAATTATTTTATTTCAAATGTGAAAATATAAAAACTGCTTGCATAAAAATTTGAGAGTATTGACACATCCAAACTTTAAGGTCTAGCTTAATCAATGTACTCAATCAGTTGAGATAATATTCATAGCAGACACAAACATGTAGAATTGTAATCCATAAGAGATTTATAATCCTGGGGGAAATAATTATATGTTACTTGATCAAAGCAGAGGACTATAATGTCCAGTGCCGTGAACCTCACCAAACCTCTCTGCCCCAGAGGATTGCTTGATGACAGTTACAGGGTGGGGACTGGGGAAATGGCCAGAGACCTATTCCTGGCCACTAGGAATTGAGACTGAAGAAAGGCTTGCTGGGAGAACCCCAGGAAAGATGCCTTCAGGCCTGTAAGAAATCGCTCATCTTCGTCTGATTGCTGCCAGATCTCTGAATCTGTGGACCAGTCACCGCCATCGTGTGAGCAGGCCAGGACCAGTGCTACAGGCTGGTGAAAGAAGCCGCTCCCTGGTGATGTGCCCACGGGAACCAGTTCTTAGTGGGATTATCAATGTCCTCACCTAGAGGTTTCTGTTGCTCACAGGCCAAAGCTTCCCAAGAGAAGCAAGAACTAATGGTGTAGAAAAAGTAAACACTAGGATGATTGTGAAGTGTCGGGTGTTTCCAGAAACTTCTCGCAATCAACCAACCGTCTCCTTTACAGTCATTTCCAGACTTATGCCGTCCCTTCCCGCTCAGGGGTTGGCACTGGTTTTCTGTGTGGTTTTAATACTACCCCACCCAGCCATCTGTCCTCTCACAGATGGTTTCTGCAGAACAAAGCAAAGAGGCACAGGGCCAGTCCTCTTCATTTTAGCTCCTCTAAGATGTCAGCAGGGGTAGGTCTTTTACAGCCAGTGTGAAGTTGTGGCAATGAACCTTTCCCTGCCGGAGCCACATTAAGGTTCCTGACGGAGAGATTTGACAGACTTCTGACCAAAATGCTACTAAAAACAAACAAAAAAAAGCTTTAAAAAAGCCATGACATAACCTTCGCTTATTTACCTCTTGGTCATATCAGAGGCATTCCTATACATTCCTATTTTTAATAATCCCCAAAATCGTGCATGCAAAATGCTAAGCATCATTTGGCACATGGTGCCATTAACTGTCATCACCTCCAGGGTTCGACTTATGAAATCACCACACTCTACCCAACACTGACTGTGCCCCAGTCGTCCCGAGGCTCTTGAGCTCGGCAACAAGTCGGCCTTCCTACACCCTCGTGAATAACACCCCTTCCTCTCTCATCTCAGGGCTACTGCGTGCCTTTTATTTTCATAAACAAGCAGCAATTTTAGCATTCCTTATGACAAAAAACCCATATGAAAAGGCAGGCATCCCTAGTGAGCTTCCTGGGCGGAGAGGTTTCTCTGTTAACGCTGGCAGGGTCTGGTCATCCACCATCTTCAGGGTCTCACCGTTCAGTTGGACAGATCTACAGGAAGGAGAGACGCTTGAGTTAGGCTGGTGTGCATGCACTCTGGCCCCGACAAAAGTTGCAAAATAGTTTTAAACCAAGGAGGACTTCGGCGGCAGCTGGCGCTGTTATTTGTATCTCAACAGTAGGTGAGACCAGGTGTTTGACAAACTTCAAACTATGGTGGGAAAGTAACTGGACCAGAGAGCATCCGGCCCTGTAGAGAAACATCACAAACGGTGCACCCATTTTCTCTGCTTTTCCAAGACAGCGTCCCATCCTATAGCTCAGGCTGGAACTTACTATACAACCTCGGCTGGCCTCAGACTCCTAGTGACCATCCTACCTCCACTACATCTAGGTTCTTCATCTTTTTCTTAAATGTTTTTTGTTATATATAATGATTGAGAGGATTGATAAGTTATTTTTATGCCATTCATGGAATACATGCGACGCATGTATAATAGTCATCAATCTGCTTGTATACAATAAGCACTATGAAGATGTTAGATACACCATTTTTCATACAAATAAACGTAACAAGCAGGCCTGTGGTCCTAGCACCCAGGAGGTGCAGGCAGGAGTTCAGAGCCAGCTTTGACTACACAGCTTATTCAAGGCAAGAGGAGACCCTATATCAAAAACTCCAAAAACAACAAAACCTAGCCAAAGTAATCCATTATATCATCTTACTTTTAATATCTCGACATTCATTCCGTCTTTCTATGCATAGAAACACATTTTACTTTAACTACAGTGGGTGTAGTGTACATATTTTCTTCTTTCAGAGTTATTTATTTCATATGTAGGAGTGTTGTGCCTACACACCAGCAGAGGGCATCAGATCCCATTATATCCACTGGTGTGAGCCACCATGAGCTTGCTGGGAACTGAACTCAAGACCTGTGGAAGAGCAGCCGGTGCTCTTAACCACTGAGTCCTCTCTCCAGCCATGTATATATTTTCTTAAAACTTCTTTTCATTTAATACATCCTAATGTTCATTCACATCGGATGGTACCCATCAACTATATTATCTTAATGAACACACAGGATTCTATGATATAAATTTATTAGTACATTTACTTAATCCTCTACTTTTAAATACCTTGTTTCCATGTGGCATTATCGTGTTTTTCTTTCCTTTCTGAGAGGTTCTTTCTTTATAGCTCTGGCTGGCCTGAAACTCACTGTATAGACTAGGCTGGCCCCACACCTGTGGGCCACTCCCCACCCCTCCCCCCGTTTCTGCTTCCCAAGTGCCAGGATTACAGGTGTTACAAATCGCCAGGCCTGGTTTGTACTTTTCGTATCCTGGTTAGTGTTTTAAAGCTCTTCACCTCTTCTTATAAGACTGGATCTCACTATGTAGCTCTGACTGGCCTGATACTCGCTCTGTAGACCGGGCTGCCTTTGACCTAACAGGTCCACCTGCCTCTGCCTCCCCAGTGCTGGGATTAAAAGTGTGCTCCACCACTTCCTGCCCCACCTCCGATCCTCATTAGGGTCAGGGGGTAGAAACTGGTTCCACATAACCTTCCTTAGATGCTCAGCACTCAGTCCCACGACTCAA